AATGTGCCAGCTGCTGTATCTGTATTGGTACAATGGACCACAAAGCAAAGGGGTATTCTAATTGTGCCAAAACTGCAGTGACACGATGCTTGCACATATATGACAATATGAGTAAACGACTACGCTTGATAATTTCCCTGAACTTATCGTGGCAGGAAATTGTAAACGTTTTTAATAAATTACACATTATCATTGAAAGTTACGTCTTTTTGGGCTCCTTTAATACATGTGTTAGGCATATAATGATACGTCGATGAATTGATTCACATAGATTTTAATATTTACAATGTGTGCATCGAATCATGCATGTCTCGCATATAAATGTTTCAAGTTATGTAAATTTAAAGGGAATGATATACACATATTTACATTCAGGCGTATGGAGCTCATAGAATTGTCCAAAAAACCCAGGATAATATTCCTATTGAGAAACAGTGCAAATGGGGCAATTGAACGTGCGATGAGATAATAGATTCTGGGATAAAATCGCGATCCCGAAAGGGGAGGTGGAAGATGGCACATTGCATGGAATAACGATGCCTTTCATGTCGCCAAATAAAATGAGTGGAAAATAAGTGGAAACTCCCTATGAAATCTTATTAAATGTTTTACGGTACTTGATTAAAGTACGTTCAAACACATGGCCACTGAGGACGCTGTCCCATGGCTTCGCGATTACGCATTCGCTGGATGAATGAATCGTTCTCAAATAATAGCTCAGCTAGTGCCTGCGATGGTTATTGTAAACCGCTCTACCATTTCGCATGCGTCGAGTTTCGTGATGGATCGTCCACATTAGGGCTGCTATAAAATATTTTGAAAGCATTTTTAACACTTCAGAGTGTTGTTTTTATTTAAAGGGCAAGTATACACCATGCAGTTGAGCACTGCAGCATTCAGGCAAATCAAAACTGTGGCTTCAGGGTCATTATATTTAATCGATGCATTTCATCAAAGTCAGGTCAAGGTATGTATGAAATCGATAACTTAATAATTTTAACTCATGAAGGTCTCACGTTCTGGCATAGAATTAAACGTATACATTCTGGTATTATCTGCCCTTTTTATCTCCCACCAAAAAGTCAGTGAGTTCCCACTCATGTGAGCAATGAGGTTCATCTGTTATTTACGTTCCTGAGCCAGTGGTGGAAATACCACATTACTCTAGTAGAGGAGAGTCTCTCCATAGGCCACCCACTGATGGCTTCACCATAGAACGATACCTATTTTAATCTAGATTTGAAGTTTTCGTGACTGCAGGGATCCATACTCTTTGGTTATTTCGGTAAAGTCACGTAGGTAGAAAATAAAATAAATTAAATCACGACGTTTCGGGCGCAACACAAGCGTCCGCCATCAGGTGGGACAACCACAGCACTTCAGCAATTGTTTCTTGCTGTGGATGTCCCACCTGATGATGGACGCTTGTGTTGCGCCCGAAACGTCGTGATTTAATTTCGTTTATTCTATACCTACGTGACTTTACCGAAAGAAACAAGGGAAAAAAAAAATCAGGATTTTATTTCACAACCTTCCTATAGTGAACCGCTCACTCTACTGCTGACCCACGTTACATATCGCATTTTGAAAAAAATTGTGAGTGCTACTTATTTTGATCCAGATGACCAAACATAGCATTGACAGGAGTTAGACCCAGTGAGGCTTTCTGGAATATAAAGGACCATAATGATGTAGAATAAGAATTTGCATTTATTCGGTGCCTAAATGCCACGGTAAAGAACACTTGTACCATGTTTGGAACACGCCAACACTATATTAGAGCTTCACACCAAGTAAGCAGTATCCTGTAGTAGTAGAGGAGCGACTGGGTGTCTCGTACCTCAGAAGCTGGGCAAGCCGCTCAATAGACTAACTGCAGAGACAGCGTCTTTGGCTCATTGAACCCTTGGTAAGTCGCGATTGTATGTCACACACGAGACCTCGAGAGACAGCGACTCAGATGGCTCCGACACGTACTCACAATGGACCAGGCCCGTGTACCAAACGTGGCAGACCCAAGCCCCACGTGACGCTAGACCGTGAAGTCCGCGCTGGCGACAGCGATCAACCTCCGTTGGGGCGAGGCTCAACGTGTTGCCAAGGACAGGGAGCAGCGGAGGAGAACTCGTTGTGACCTGATTTCCAATAGGGGATGAAGCAGTTTGTAAGAAGATTTCAAGAATCCTATTTGTGCATCATTTGACCGAGCATTCCAAACATTGTTGACAAGCAGCAAACACAATCGCCTTTACATGCACACCTTGCCTGGGTTGTGTCTGGGAGTAGTTTGCCTTTCGGGGCGCGATTACCCGTGAAGGTTCAAATGGCACCATGCAGGTGCGGCTCTATTTTAATTAAATGAGCCGATCGGCCACAAATCATGGTGTGAGACGTGTGCTTTATTCTCTTGGACACTGGGGAACCTTTACAGAACCCTAATTCGTTGGCCTCACGGAACTGTGCGATACTCATTGATCTCCATTGAAAACAGTGCCCGCGGTTATGTAAGATCGAGACATTTTTGTTCAAAACGTCTGGCTAACCCAGCAGCATTATTTGTTGATCAAGCCTGACATGCTGAGGCCCAGAAGGTCTCAACCAGTCCACAGTTTGCTTGCTTAAACCATAATGCTGCTGGATAATATTAGTTTGGAAAGACAACAGGCTGATCGACTAGAACATCGTATTTTATTTTATGTGGAAATACAGAACATATTGCTGCTCATGCAGTATGTGCTTTAAATCATAATGTTCCACACAACAGCAACGCATAATGTGTCTGTATACTTTATTATGTCATAAGTTACAAAACAGTGACCGTACTGTATATACCAAGCGTTGTCAACGTGCAGATGGCAGATACGGAAACACATATCTCTGGCTCCATCACGTGGCTTCGAGACCATCGATGATCGTGGTGTATGTTGTACTGTGTGTTCTACATGTCTGTGGGTTAGGCGGGCATTGATACGCACGGAGCAGTTTGTGACGCCAGCCTCTAACACCACTGTGTCGTTATCTAGCCTGCAAAGCAGTGCTTGATCGCATTTATCTCAACAAAATAAGTGCTACTGCACGGCTGATTGCATTCCATCGTCATATCAGCGTTAACGGCTATCGACTGGTCCTTGGCACGGCATAGTTCCAGTCAAAGTCCACTGCAGGCAATGCACAGGACCCGCCCTGTGAGACTGAATTATCCACCACTTGCTGCTGCTGCTGTACTTTGCAAACTTTCTGTAACCCCCCCCCCCCATATATTTCAAATGCTTCAAGCGATTATCAACTACAGTACTTAATTGATGTTAATTGAGATTTGTAATCCTACTGTCGATGGACATTTAGCACCGATAAGCGAAAAGAACAGGATCCATAAAATACAGATCAGGCAGTGACCCAACCCTGCGGCATGGCCTTGTTTAAAGGCGGGGGGGGGGGGGGGGGGACACACAACATCTCAAGAGGGACGTGACACCGTCAATGTTAAATAAACTGTAAACGAACGTTAAACGCTAAACAGAATGAGTAAAAAAAATCTGATCTGCTTTTGGTGTTCCATTGTGCCAAGATTTTTTCATTTTATGATTTGATGATGGGAATATAGACGGGGTGGGGGTGGGGGGGGGTCAGCTTTCATCAAGGGGGTGGCTCAACCCCATCCAGCTCCCCCAGCCCCCACCTCCACCCTCGATGTTACTAAGCTGATCCCAGGGATCCACAACTCCCACGACCACTAAGTGCCATGTTTTTGCGGCCGTGTCACGCAAGCCCACTACGCCACTGCCGGCGCCACCACTGCAGGTAGTAGATTAGCAGCTTGCGTGCAGATAGTGCCCAAGATGTTTCCCAAGCCGGAGAAGACAGCGCTGGAATGTCGATTGGGGATGTTTACATGACGGGCAAATTTTATGCATTTTGAAACGGGTGGTGGGTGGTGGTTTTTTTCTCATTGGGGTCACAGGGGGATTGTGGCTTGGATGCCGGGGGCATGTGGGCGTTTTGAGGCTTTGGGTCAACTGCGGTGATGTCGTGGCAGCGTTAGCATGCAGCGTGCACGATGGAGAAGCAGGTGGCTGCGAGGCCACAGCACTGATGCAGCATTGCTGAGAACCTGGGTGTGATACCAAGTGGCCATGTACTGATTAAACTGGGGTTTATTGTCTCGCCCCAGTCACCAGTAACTGCACGAATAATACACATCGCATTGAATTTTATATTGAATTTTAATTGGCCTTTTCCAGCTCTGTGGATTGATATTACTGGTTTGACTGTAATGGGACAAACCCAATCTCATAGTAGAATGTGTGGGAAAGTGTGCTCCCCCTTCGTATTGTGTAAAAATAAAACGGTCAAACGTTGTGTTAAATAATTATCTTGAACACACTGTGTCTCAGCTGCTCTCCCAAGAGTTCTAAACGCACTTTCACTGTCTCATCACTGCACTGAGAGTCCACCGAGAATTAATTTGGGGAATAGGCAAGAAAGCAGGTCACGTCCGTTGCCTCTACTGAAGAAGAATAGAAGTCGGTCTACTGGGCCAGCCTTTTGAGCTGTACTTATCACCCAAACCAGCAGTTACGTGGAACTTTACATCACATTGTAAGGCATGGGGCCAATTTACCCATTGATGCATCATCACACCTTGTTAATGTGTGATTTAATATTAATTGTGTGTTTGTCATGTTTTCTTCTGGGATGTCATTTTAACGCAGCATTCGAAATAAACACAAGCTTATTATCATAAACTGTTGCCCGTTTACAGAGCAGTAGATGTATTAGGGTGTGTGCAACATTTTCGCGTGAATGGCAGATGGTAATTTAATATGAAATAATTAATTCCTGTAAAATATATAATCATAGTATAATTGGGCAGGAAGTTGTGTCAGCAGCTTTGCCCTAGACTTCGGCCATGAAGATGTTTTACTTGATAATTGCGTCTTTTAGTGGAGTCATATTTTTGTTTTACCATGCTTATGCAATTGTGTCACGTTGTGTTGCAGGAAACGGAATGTTTGGAAATCACAAGCATCCGAGACACAAGGACCGGGAAGTATGCCAAGATGCCAAAGGTGAACACGGAGGGGGGAATGCTTTTGTCAATGATATATGCTAACTTGCTTAATAAGCCTTCATCTCTGTGGAAAATCCTAGCAGGAAACAATTCAACCAACCAGTGTTTGCTCGTGCCATAACTCATACCCATAAGCACTGCTTGGGACTCGGTTATCAGTTGGTCGATCCTCGGTTTGTTTTTCGCACGGGTAGAACATCAATGAGTGGCATTTCACCAAGATTGCCATTTTTGGAGCCTTTTGTAACGGCAACAATTGTAACTTTGTCTGCCACAAAAAATACTTAAAAATACTTAAATTCTATGAGGCATAGAATCGACAGGGCAGAGCAGGAAAGGAGGTGCACCATGGTAAGTTGCAGATTAAGGGACTTCACAAGGAGAGGCAATCCTAGGCAGACAAAACAAACGTCTACAGCAAGGACTTGACCGGGACAAGTCAGAAGTGGGTGCTGCAGCAAGTTGTTAATTGAAGTGATGAATGCATTGCTTTTAAACTATTTTTTTTGCATGGAAAATTGATTCATTAGCCGCCGATTTAAAACAGCAGTCTCCTATTATCCGGCCTCCAACATGCAGACAACTCACTGCAGTGAATGCCCAGCGTCATTACCCCACCCACCTTGAGCTCAGCTCCAACTCCGTTATCATTTTACGTTACAACGAAGTAAGGGGGTAATCGACTAAGCAAGGTGATGATAGTTTCGGCGTTCCGGTTATACGTATGTTGAACTCCTTTTACACTGTATGTAGCGATCCGTGCCAATTGGAGGGTCCTGAGCTCATTGACAATCGGGTGACACTGTGGTGCCACATTCAAACATGGGGAATGTTTGTGTTGCTCGCATGCTCATGGTAAGCGCGTGTGTCTGTGGGTGCGGATGGATGCATCTGACTGTTACCGCAATCTGTTAATTCAACAGCACCTGGGTTCCCCCCTCCTGTAACCACCGGCCACAGAACCTTTGCGCTGTATGGGGCCCTCAGAAAGTACACCTAGCCTGGCACTAGCACCATAGTGGTATCACAGCACTAGTGGCTGCTGCTGCTGCCACCGCCACCATGATTGAGGTACCACCCTCTTGGTGGTGTGTACCTATCACTTGGTGTTCTTAGAACAACAGACTGGCTCCTTACAATGTAAACTGCTTTACGGACTTTGGCTTTCATGAATCTGCACTCCCCAATACCAGTACAGATAATGCCTCTTACGGGATGTGTAGCAGTGGGTTCCATGTGCCGCAGGATAATGTTATCTTTGAAGTTGTCAATATTGATACAGCGCTGTCACTTGTACTAGACCAATACCTTAAGTAGTTATGATAGTAGCAGTTGCCAAGGTCATTCGTCAATAATACTGCCTTGAAAGGAAACATACATTTTTAAAAGTCAGTTGTGTTTGTATAAGAGCTAAACCCGTTTTATATTATTCAGTAACGATAATAAGAAGAATAACAACGAGGCTATTTGTGATTTATTTATCCAGGAAAGCCTCGCTGTGTCTTGATCCTGCAGGATGTTTGGCCAATTTAATTTAAAGGAGTTATGTATTTTGCATGTTAAAGGAGTCCAAGGTTCCCAAAGAGGACATATCCATACAAGGGAATAGCAGAGAATAGTCTGCGAAGACAGCGTGACACTAATTTAGCTGGGCTGCCATCTCCTGCACATCTTTAAATCCGGCGGATTTGGAAACCTCACAAATGTGTGATCTTCAAACCCTTGCCTCCCAACAGCTGGGTTACAAGGATAGCATGCGCCACCTTGCTTGCTTGGCTGTATGAATAGACATTAAAAATTGTATATTTTTGTTATAATAACTTAAACATTGTTCTTCAAACAACATGAAAATAAACGTTCCAATATTTTCAGAAGCCGAACAGCAGGCCGTGCCCATGACATCACAGTCTGCACCAGGATATTTGAAAATAAATAGAGCGGCTTCCAGCTTTTGAATCTCAGCATAAAAATAAAATTTCTCGTCGTGAAAGATGTGAAAAAATAAATACTGTAATTTGATTATTCACGTGTGTTTTCTTCATTTTTTTTGTAGCTAATGAACGGTTAACAAACAAGATAACAGCAGTCTTGTGTAACCTGTTCCATGTGTGGCTTAACTTGGGGCAATATTACACTGTGTGTGTCTTTGTCTTTATTTGTGTGGTGAACAGTAGTCTAGTGGTTAGCCTGCAAACCGAGTTTGATTCCTGCTCACGGGCAACACCAGTGAGGATTGTCTGAACCAGTCTTGGGCCTCACCTAAGTCGACTCAGCCTCAAATGAGTACCTTGTGCAATGTGCAAACATCGCCACTGGGAGACAAAGGCGGCCCGGTGTGGTGCTCGCCACTCACTCCCTTGTGTGCCATGCCAGCCTTCATTGGTGCTCGCTAGCAGCACTTGCGCGAACAGTCTATTGAGGCTACACGGGAGATCTTTGTCTTTGTATGTGTGTGCGGGAGATCGTTAGGGTAGTGGTTGGCGCACTACACAACGAGCACTGGCTACCTGAGTTCGATTCATGCCCATGGCCAACGTCAGTGATACATATCTGAACTAGTCATGGTCCTCCACTCCCCGAGATCGACTCAAACCTCTGAATGAGTACCTGGGATGGTGGTCAGATATCGAGACTAGGGGGAGAAAGGTGGCTGGGTATGGTGTTGGCCATACGACCCATCTCATGCACCATGCCGACCTTAATAGGCGCTCGCTAACGGGGGGGGGGGGGGTATTTATGTGGCTATCAAGACTAATCATGTTTGTGTGCATCTGCGTCTGTGTCGCCATCCCCGGGAACTAATACCTAATGGAACACATTACCGCGACCTTCTGGACTTCTGGCATCGGGGTCACATAACGTGCCTTTGAGCATACCACTAATCATGTTAATATTTGATTTGTTGACATGTATTTGTGCTTGAAATGCGGGAGTGAAGAAATACACAAACACATCTGTAATAATCGTTGAAAAACATGTTTCCAAAATGCACTTTTTTTAAAGCAGTGACTGGCAAGCTGTTCATGTTCCCTCGAGACAATGGCACAGGATGGCACCACGGAAATATTACACAAAGTCACTATATTACGACAGTATTACTGCTGCTTGCTGCTTTCAGTTTTTAGTTTGTTCCCAACCTAAGAGTTGGTTTCTCATTATTCTGTTCTACAACTTGGGGACCAAAAGGAGGACACAGATGGGGGGGGGGGGGGGGGGTGTTTGCAAGATCGTGGTGCTGAGCCAGTTGAGATTTCTATGGCGTTAGAGCCACATATGTATTTTTGCTTGGTTGAGCATTTGTCAGAAAGCAAAAGTCATTGTGTTATTGTTATGAAATAATTATAATCCATACTGTGCAGTGCTTTTTCAGTCCACTTCTGGATGAAGGTCTCCGCATACATTTTGGTTGTTTAACCATATTTCACCACATTGGTGTCGGGGGTCAGCATTGTGCAATTGTCACTGAGAGGAATTCCAAAGTACACCTCGTGTAACAAAGTCAATTTCACGAAACCGTAATATGTTGCATAATGACAGATTGTATTTTTTTTCCAACTGAGATGGCTCGTACATAAGCGAACATGTAGGCATTTTTGTAGCACAACAATAGCACCTATGAATAGTTCTTACTTCTATATAAGGCCCGCAACACTGTAGAATGCAACTGCACCCTCTCCAAAAAACAAGACATTGCAATGATGGCATCATATGTCAGGAAAAGACTCCCCAGTATGAAGGACTGTGCTGGAATTTGCGTGGCAGTGTCTGAAAATATGTAAGGTATGAGTTCACCATGGCTTGGCTTTTGAATTTGACACCGACCATTAATAATTAATGAGATTCTTTTTGTTGTTGTTAGTTAGATCGCCCGCTTTTATGGTTGTGCGATAACCACAGGCAGTCTAAAAACACGAGCAATGAGCAATAAAATAACTGGGTTTGTTTATCCTTCGGGAGTATCATGTTTGGGTTAGTGTCAGAGTTAGGGTTATACAGTAGTCGTTGTCTTCAGTTGTGCTCACGTGTGAGCACATATTTTGTTACTAGCCTTTTGCCCGTCCTAGGATGGAAGCTGTAATATTTACGAAAAAAATTAGCAGAGTATAAATTGTATCTTGTGTAAATTTAATGGCAGTGAATCTTGCACAAAAGTACGTCATCAAACACTTCACTGCAGTTCACTGTAGCACTGTATTAATGGGAGTGATTCTTGCACAGAACTACGTCATAAAACACCTGTATATAACAATTTGTTCAAATTCACTGCTTTGATACTTTATTCTCTACTGCTTTCGGTCGCTGGGGTTGAAATAAATTGGAATTCGATACAATATCTGGAAAATCACCGAGAAATATCTATTTTACCATAATGTAGAAGCATACATTAGACTTGCCTTTTGTCTCAAGTGCTGAAGAAATAAATAAAGACACCAAATCCACTTTGTTGCTGCCTAGAATTATTTATTCGATTCACTTTCAATAAAAAAAACGTCAAATTTAAAGCAAATCTGCGAAAAAAATATTTCCGCACGACCTTTTTCTGCGTAAGTGTAAAAATCCACCCGCTCATGAATATTAATGACGGGGGGTGTGGCATGTGGAGTGATGTCACGCACGTTACACACAGATAGACTTTATTGGCTCGTTATAGTCGTAATAGCGATTAAAGCGCTGTGGAAGGGATGATGGCCGATGGTGCAGATGCTGCGTGGAGGGAGGAGGCCTTTATCAACAGTAGATTGACGATGGCCAATGATCATGATGATTATGACCGGTTGGTATCTGAACCTGACCTTGCACCTCCCCCTAGATCAACTCGGCCTAAAACCAGTACCCAGGGCAGTGTGTGAACATCAACACGAGGAAGGGGGGGGGGGCTTAGGTTAATCGGATTGGTGTTGGCCCCATCGCACTGGTTTAATAGGTGCTCGCTAACGGCACTTTCCCCAAGCAGTCTATTAGGCCAAATCACCATTGCGGTTTTCTGCGCCAGCCCCA